GTCCCTCAACTATCAATTGAGTTTATTAAAGTATATAGATTAAAGTCTATTTAGGGGTTGTTTAGAATGTCCTAAATAAGTGCACTTTTTTACTTTTTAGACTAAAAGTTGAGGAAAAAAATATGGTTGTTTGGGTTAATTTTTTGACTTTTTATGGAAAAATATGTATTAAAAAATTGTATAAATTAGTGTATAAGGAAAAATTAGGATTGAGAGTTGTGTAGTCATACTTTTTGAATTTTGATAAATAATAATAATTTTTTAACTTTTTAAATAACTTGTAAACTTTTTAATTTTTTTTTAAATTTGACCTTAGTAGTTTAAAAATTGGATAAGTGGTTCTATAGTTGGGTTAGTTGAGAATGGATACAAGAGGAAGAAGCACGCGGAGAACTCGGGCGGTCAATTAGAAGCAACAGGACAACACGTGTCACTTATTGAAACCACTAACATTAAAGGTAAAAATAAAAATGTCACAGTCGATTTGTAACTAACTTTGGATGAAGAAGTCGAGTCAAAGTCATTTTTGAGCAGTCTTCTCATTGAAGACGTTAACGAGAAAATATGTTTTAAAAGAAAAACAATAAACGCATGTTCCTTGCGACACCCTCGTGTTTCTCAAATTTAAAATTTTTTTCCTTGTAATTTTTTTTTTTAATAATTATGTTTGGTTAAAAGAATTTATTGTCTAAAACTTAACAAAAATAAAATCCTTTTCTCCCAAAGGTCTATTAAAACAAATTTTATCCAAAGTCTATATTTCATTTTTATATTCTACGTATATTGAGTAATTATTAAAAAAAATTCGGGATGATATTTTTAAACTCAATGTGGCATTGGCTTGGATAAAAAAATATATATATATATATAAAAAATCAAATTTATCATCATGTAAATGTTGTCAATGAAAGAAATCAAATTATATATGATGTATTTGTTTGAGAATTGGTTTTCAATTTTCAGTGCCCGTTGGTAACTTACTTTATATATATATATATATATATATAGATTTTTTGGCTTTTTAAATTTTTTATGAAAAAAATTAATCACTCTATTTTGTTTGAAGTTTTTAAAAGTAATTTTTTTTAATTTTTAATTAGTAGTTTTTTTTAGTGAACGTTTTAAAACTTTCAAAAAATTATTTTTTACATTCACTTAATACAGAGGATTGTTTGCCTTTGAGGCAACACTTGGAAGAGCTGGTCGCGGCCGGGCATCTAGACCTTTACATTGATGGCCATCATCCATGTTTGAGAAATAAATTTCGAACACGACAACAGTTACTGGGCAATGTGAATGCTTACATGGGTGATCACATTATGTTATAATTTTCTAAAAATCAAAGGGGGGAACCAACAGCTTCAAACTACACCCAATAACACAAACAACTTGGGCATTGATGTCACAATGTGAATGTTTTCATCATACTCCATCACAGTGTTGAGTGAAGTTTGGGTGTTCTGACATTAATGTGTTTACATCAGTGTGTACTACTCTAAGTTTACCCAGTACTCAATAATAATGTGAATGTTCACATCATTCATGTGTGCAAAAACAAATCCCGAAAACTACAACAGTTAGAGGCCAATGTGAATGTTTACATATATTTTTACAAAATTAATTCCGAAAACATCTATGTTTGATGACATTATGATTGAGAAACAGAAGGAGGAATGGTATTCCTTACTTTTGTTCGTCATGGTTGGTGGGTATGGATCACACGCAGTGGATAAAATAAACTCAATGGGGCGACAAGAATCTTCGAACGACGAAGCACCCTCCTTTCGATGTGAAGCTTCGCAGTGGTGAGACGAAGAGGAATCTAGGGTTACTGGAGGCAATATCAGTATCGTTTCGTCGATTGAGTTTTTGTTTTGGAAATTTTGTGGATTGAATATTTCGAATAGGAATGGGTTTTTGCAGAATCGGTTTCACGCGGGAGAGGCGGAAAGGGTTATTTCGTCCTTTAACAATTAATGGACCTAATGGAATATTCAGAAACAGTTTGAGTTTTATGGAACAAAACAGTTATAAATAGGACTTATCAAAAAATGGCCCAAAAATTATGTTTGGGATAATGATGAATTTTTTTAATTGATTTAATAATTATGAAAAAAAAATAATAATTATAATTTTAATGTGATGTTTTTTTAATTGATTTATTAGTACCCTTTCGAATTCGATTTACATCGAGATTATTCTAGATCCAGAAATTTTAACTAAAGTCGACAAACACGACAATTGTGTTTGTGTACCGAATACTGAAATAAATAAATTTTGAAATAATTACATTTTTCACGTTTATAATTTGATCTAAATTAATACTTCCCTTCAACGGATTTCGTGGGACAAAGTGTATATTACAAAAAATAAAAATAAAAAATTATAAAAATAAAATAAAATTGATTCATTAATGAAACTCAATAAATTAAGACAAAACTCTAATACATGAGAGATAGAGGGAAATTCTATTTCTACACACTTAATTATTTCAGTGCACATACTTAATGAAATATTATTTTAATGGCAATTATACCCTGAACTAAAATGACCATAATAGACATCTACTAGCACCCATAATATTATATGAAAATATTCTCTGTATACATATTTTAAAAACAAAAACAAAAAAAAATCTTAATATACATATTTTGAGTATAAAAAAAAAAAAAAAAAAAAACTAAACTCTAGTTTTTTCATTGTTGTCACTTTACTTGTAACACACTCTATACTCCTCTATTGCTTGTAAAGCAATCTTCTCATAACAACTTTCATATTGTTTCAATCTTTAGATTTATACTCTATTAATGACGAAAATGTTAGTTTTTTGTGCACAAATTTTTTTTTTTTGGTTCCTTTTGCAATTTTTAGTCGAACAATCAGTGTCGAATTATTTCATTATATTCGGATATCAACTACCGAAAGTTTTTTTTAATTTTTTTCGAAACAAATTTGTCGAACTAGTCACTTTTATTTGGAAGTTAAGTTTCAAATTAAATATATAATTTCAGAAAACTAGTGCCGAAATCCCCAAACTGAAAAGCATTATAAAAAAAAAGAAAAAAAAAAGAGTTTTATGACAATGGAGCGTACAGAGATCTAGAAATGACAACTGCAATAAAAAAAAAATGAAAAAATGTCTCATCTTCAACAATATTTTGGAGGATTTTCAATGGTGTTTTAATGGAGGTTCAATGGAGGTCCTCAAGAGAGGACTTTATCTTCACTTCACACTATAGTCTTGAATAGTTTTCACATGGGTTTACAAATCTAGAAGTAGGATTACTCAACAAGTGTGTAAAAATGAGAGTTGAGTGGTGTGTGTACAATGATTATGAGTGAATGGTATAATTATAACTTTCAGTATGTGGATTGAGAAAATTAATTAATAATCAAATTAATAAGTATGCGTACTGAGAAAAGATGTGCACAGAGGTAATTAAGTATGTGGAAATAGAATTTTCCTGTATTTAAGTCTTCATTTTGGATGAATTTTGTAAGCTTGTTTTTTTTTTTTGGTGACTATTTTAGTCTAATTAAAAAAAATTGTGCTTAGAATAATGATGGATTTTTTTAATTGATTTAATGGTTATGAAAGAAAAAATAAAATAATTATAATTTAAATATGACAATTTATTTATTTTTTAATTGATTTATTAGCACTTTTGATTTCGAGTTACCTCAACATGATTCTAGACCTGAAAATTTTAACTAAAGTCGACAAACAATTGTCGATTTGTGTACCGAATACTCAAATAAATAAAGTTTGAATTAATTACACTTTTCACATTTATAATTTGATCTAAATTAAAGCAAAATACTTCCCTTACACTCCGTTTGGATTGAGAGATGAAAAAAGAAAAAAAAATAATTAGAATTTCTCGCTTAGGTAAGAAAATAAAAAAAAAATAATTATGAATTCTCATTTTATTATTTAGATAGATTATAATTAAAAAAGAATACATGTCTTTTATTTTATTTGCTTTGTATTTAGAGGAGTAATTTAGGGGGGGGTGATTCTATTTACACCACTCTTTTACCTCCTTACACCCTCCATCTCATTACACCACTTAAAAAAAAATTAGATTCTCATTACACCTAATATATTACCAAAACAAATCCTCTGATAAAAAACTCTTCAAAACCCATCTCTTTACACCCATACTTTTGTGCTGGGCCTGTTCGGTAATACAATGCTAAACAATTTGAATTACTCTAGTTCCATGTTACCGGATAAAATTTTGTTTCCCAGTATTATGTTACCGTTCAAAGCCAGTAGAGTCCACATTGAAGTGCTTGTTCGATCACACAGTGCGAAACAATTTACAAAACTTCGGTGTTATAACGCCAGAATAAATCGTTTTGTCCAACCTTTTGTTGCTATACATTTACAAAGTCACTTCCTCCCAAATAATGTGGTAATAATTTGTGCTGGGCCTGTTCGATAATAAAATGCTAGTGAATTTTAATTACTCCAGTGTCGTGTTACCAGACAAACTATTTTTTCCCAGTATTATGTTGCCATACAATTGGATAATTTCAATTTGCTTCACAACAAAATCAGTGGAGCCCACTGTAAAGTGTCTGTTCAGTCACACAATAGTAAACAAATTACATTTGTCCAGTGTTATGTTGTTGGAAAAAATAAATTTGTCTAGCGTTCTGTTGCTATATATTTACAAAGCCACTTTGTTCCAAATGATAATTTGGGTTTGTTCAGTAATACAATATTAACGAATTTGAATTAATCCAGTTCGATAAAAAACATCCATAAATCAGACACGCATCTATAAAATTAAACATAAAAAGTTTTCATAAAATATTTCATAACAAAATCAAGTGTACGAATATCCATAAAAGCATCCATAAAATCTGTCATTGTTTGCATCCATCAATCAAACATGTTATCACAATTCGTCTATATCAATTGTTTCGATAGTTATTATGTCAGGGCTAATAAGAGTACAGAATTACTAAATACGGATAGTATATGCTTTCTCCTATCCACTAGCACACGGGTGATGAAAACGAATCCAATTATTTGCTATCGAAGGTATTGGGTGACCTGGTTGCAGATAAACCTATGACAAATAAATCAATAAATATAATTACAAAATAAGACATGGTAATAGTGTAAGTAGGCTTGGTAGTTACCTACACGAAATGGTTTCCATTTACAAATCCTATGTAGATATTTCTTCGATCAAGTGTTGCAATCGATACTGATCTAAGTGGTAAAAAGGTCAACAATTGCTGCATGGATAAATGGTAAAGAACGACTCGATAATATGATGCTATCAAATGACCCATGTCGGGCATAGTCATCAAATGATTAAATCTAGGGCTAGGTTTGAAGTAGGATAAGATAGAGTTAAGTTCATCAACCCTTTCTTGTGAATCAAATAGTTGCATGCAGTGCACTACATTCGAATGCAACTCAGTCAACAAGTTGCGCTTAACTTGTTGCCAATCATCTTCACCTAAACCAATCAATCCAGCTATTACCCTGAAACCATAATTGTCATCTGCTCGTACATCTTTTATGTGACGGATATATGGTCTTAAGTTCTCTAGAAATTGTTTGAAGTAAGAGATATGATTTGTTGATTGCGTCATACAAACCTACATCACAAATATACAGCAATGGATATATGAAATAATTAAAATGAAGCTGAAAAACTATTAAAATACGTTTTGTACATAGTTACAAGTTTTATGTAATTACATACATCATCTTTTTTTGCCTTCTTCCGTTGCACTTGCTTACGAACTGGTCTATAATGAACCTCGTCTTTAATGAATTCATGACTGGAGTCCACTAATAATGCAGTACTTGCATTGTTGTAATAAGTATAAGTATAATCATTCCAAGCAAAATATGTATATACTGAAAATACATGACTATGAGTAGTCGAACAAATTTAAAAAATTCGGCTTTGTATTACCGGAAATGTATCTTTTATTCGACAATTTGATACCAGACTTATATTTTTTGTTCGACACTGTGATGCTGGATTATGTTATTTTGTTCGATTTTGAAACACCGAACAAAAATCTCAAACCAGCCCAGAAAATCGAAACAAAAACCTACCAAACTAATAAAAAAAACTCACAGTTTCACTTTTTTGATAATTTTTCACTACCGTTTCTTCATCCATTGCTTTTTTTGATGATCAAAACACTATAATTATCACTTTTCAAAAGAGATATGTAAGAGAAAAGAAAAGTTGAGAAAGGGAAAAGAGAAGTAGGAATTGAAGATAAAGGAGTGTAAGGAGATAATCAAATATATTTAATTTTAGTATTTTTTCCTTTTAAGAAATTTCATACATGGATAAAATTGAAAAAAAAAAAAACAATCTCATATGGAAGGTGTAAATAGGTAAAAGAGTGGTGTAAGTAGAATCACTCAATTTAGGTATTAAAATTTTTTGGTTAAATTACAAATACAACCTTTGAAGTTTACTTAAAATACGAATATGTGGTTTTAAAAATTACATTTCACCTCATGAGATTTCTAATTTCATAACAAATGCTCCTTTTTATTAATAAATAATCAAATTAATTAATAATTTTTAAAATATATTTCAATTAATAATCCACATAATTTTATTATTATATAGAAGAGCAGTTATGAATTTCATTTTTTCAATTAGTGCTGTTAAATAAAAAATTATGACAAAAAGATATTTATAATTTTTCAAATCATAGGAGATAATCTGTATTTTAAACAAACCTTAAAAAGTACATTTATAGTTTATTTATTTTATTTATTATAAAGAGTAATTTTGATTTTTCACCAAATCTCACAACCTTTGGTGAGAAACAATACTTAAATTTGGTGTGATTTCTCATCATTCTCACCAAGACTCACCTCACTAATCATCCAAATAAGTTATGATAAACTTCATTCTCTCTATCTTTTCTTTCCTCACCAAACCTCTCAAATCCAAACAGCATGTTAGTTATGACAAAAATACAATAATACTATGTTCTCTTATGATTTAAACACTTTGTTACTTACTATCAATCATATTGTTAATAATATGGGTAAAAAATGATGCTACAATCTCTTTTACTTCAAAATGTATATATATTTTACATTTAATTACAACAATAATTTTGTCATTAATTTTACAGCACCGCTACATCCACCGAATTTGTTTAGTCCGAATTCGCCTGAATAAAGTTTCTTTCCGGAAAGAGACTCATTCGGGTATTCATCCTAAACAAATTCGGTGAACGAATCATTAATCTTAATTTTGTATCCATAATAGCTGCAGGACTGGCTGCAGCCTTATGCTTTGGGAATTTTGATTTTCCATTCGAAAAGATCAGATCGAGGTCAATACAAGTACATATCAATTTTAGATTTTGTTAACGAGGGTGAGTCAATACAAGGTAGCATCTCCATGAAGAAAAAATGGCCAATAACATCTACGATATCATACTCAACAAAAAACAGCCAGCATGTGTATTGAACACACAGACAAATCATGAAATCCGAGCATATCAACTCCACAACTCCTCACTGGACCTAACAAATCTCAAATTCAAGTAATAAAACTGTAAAATTAAAAATTGGAAAGTGGTTGTTATTCATCTTCGAGCATCTCTCTGTGGACATGCATGCATGATGTGCTGCAGTATTTGTAGTTATACCTGTGAAATGGAACTTTACCAACCAGAGATGAGTCGCAACATGAGCACTTGATGTCGGTTGTCACCACACCCTTGGGCTGTGAACTGCTGCTTGGTGCAGTGTTCGTGTTTGTCGTTTGAGCATTTAGGGCAGCGACTGCTGCTATTCTCCTCTCGGCAGCAGCAGCCCTCTTTTCCCTCTCTGCAGCTTGTGCCCTTTTCAGTTCCTCCTGATGAAATTCGCATAAATTTATTTTAAAAATAAAAAATAAAAAATAAAAAATAAAAAATAAAAAAATTTGTTTGCAGGGTCTGAACAAAAATGAGACTTTTCTAAAGTCATCAATGCATAAATCCTGCATAACTGAGGTATACCCAAAGAAGGCTTAACTTCTTATGGGACCTAAGTCTAAAAATCTAATTGAAGCCTTCAAATGCATTTTTACATCATAAATATTTTTATTTAAAACTTATTTTTCTTACTTTTTATGATATAAAATTACTAATTAAATTCTTATATTCAAGTTTTTCTAACATACCATTTTCAATTGATATTATACAGTTAAATTTTCTTTTTGGCAAGTATATTATAGCTAATCCACTACATTTTTATTGTGATATAGTCGATCTCAGGAATGATTTAAATTTTTTTTAATTTTGAAAACTTTTTTTTTTTTTGGGTTCAATGTCCTGTTAAATTGTCAATAAATTCTATAAGCAATACAAACATTTAGAAATGAATCTAATCTTGAAAGTTATGAACAGCTAAAAAAAAACCCATAAAAACTTCAACTCATGAAAGTTATGAACAATATTATTTTTTATGCATCTCAAACTCTATATGAAGAAAGAACCAGTATTAACTACCCTTGGCAATTTTTTTTTTTAAAAATAAATAAATAAGAAGAAGAAGAAAAAGAAAAAGCTCTAACCTCTTTAGACATCCGTGGCCCACTACTAGATTGAGACTGTCCTTTGGAACCTGTAACAGGAGAGGCTCCCTGACTCTTTGAAGTTGTCAGAGCACTCTGGGATGGTGGAGCAGCTTCTGCCTGTACATAGACATCAAATTGATGATGAAGACAAAACAAATTCAAGTTTCAAACCAATAAAACAAATTCAAGTTTCAAACCAATAAAGGATCCCCCCACCAAAAAAAAAGAAAAGAGAAAGCTGCACAAACAAGATAATATGAGATAATCGTGAGAGATGCAAAATTTGCGCTTGTTTGCTATAACATTCTAGTTCATCATTCCAGCCAATTCTTTATCTTTTCAAACACAAACAACACAAAATATATCTAAGAAAGAAACAAAAAAATTCTACAATATGACATCCTAGTTTTACTCTCTTTTTTTATTTTTTATTTTTTATTTTTAAACCTACATTGATTGAATCACGAAATATCAAGCCTGATATACATTCTGTATCTTGCAACTTCCACAAGCAAGGCATCAGCGAAACTGTCATCTCAACTTACATATATAACTTAATGTGCCACAACCAACAAATATTTTATGGTAAACCTGACCTGCAAATCTTTATTATTATTTTTTTCTATAGTTTATATTGGTCACATCAAATATTTTTTTTACGACCAAGAACTAGCCCTAGGCAGGGTCCATTGGATCCACCTCAGGTGTATAAACATGGGGTTCAGAAGCCACAACTCAACCCTATGAATTGGGTAAACAGGAGAGGAGTCAAACCTCTGACCTCCCGGATAGGAACTTGGGCCACTGACTATCCGAGCTAACCTTCAAGGGAATATTGGGTCACATCGTTAACTTGTATCAAACTGGGTATACTTGCCATGTACTATTAGTTGTGTGTGTGTTTTGTTGTAATATAACACTAGAGTTTCTTTCTGTATTTTTTTGGTCCACTAAAAACTACAGCAAATTTATATAGGTAAAAGTTAATAATTATAAATCTCAATACAAAAATTAATTGAGCACTAGTTATGCACAATGGAACAACATTGTTTCCTTTAATTATTATTAACAGATAACAGCTTATTATAGTTATTCATTAGATAATCCACTATATTCTCATTCCATCAGCTAGGGGACTCATCATGAGTGAATGTAATTGTGTCCATAAATAATTCATAGCATTTGATCAAGTCAATTGTTGTGTGTGCGCCAGACCACCTCCTCTGGGTAACATCATATTCAATATAAATTATGAATTTGTGCATCAAAAGGCTATGGAAGCCAAATGGAGTCACTTCATGCCACATGCTCTGAAAATTACTTACAAGCAGATTATCTGTAAATCACACAGATTCAAACTCTGGCAACCAAAAATGAGCACAACTGCTTAGGAGACAAATTTTTATCAAAATTCGAGTAAAGATCAAGGCTATAATTTTTCAAGACGCACCTGGGCCTTCTTTTCCCTTGCTTTACGTAATTTCTTCAACTCTTTTGCTCTTGCTTTCTTCTTGGCATCTTTCTCTGCCTGACCAATCAGCAAAAGATAATATCATCAGCACATCAAATTAAAGAATTGTTTTCATTTTTCATTTTTTTTAATTAATTTATTTGGTATGGAAGCTAGCACAACAAAACAAACTACTCCATCAAAACCCACATGAATCATGCGGCTATTCACCTTCCCCTTGCATCTGAAAAATAAAATGACCATAATTTTCCCCATTTATTTTGATAACCTCTCCTGCCACATTATTCATTATGTATCTGGGGTGGGCCAATTTTTCAAGAATAAGATTTCCAAAGCATGTTCTCATACAACTGTTTGAGAATCCTCATGAATCACCTCATGGAAACAAATTGGTCACTTGTTTCTAAAATGTTACAAACAATAAATCAATATCTAGCAACAATGTGATATGGTAATGTGACAAAACAGCATCCTTTGATATTAGTTTTCCAGATGAGAGCAATCATCTTTCCTAGTGAAGTGAATCAACTATAGTGAAATTTTATTTTGCGTCACTGCCTTGGCACTTGGCATGTAAAGTAAGATGAGTCTTCTGTGGATACAAGCAGAGAGAAGTCAACACAAAGAAACACAACTTCTATAACTAATTCAAGAGCTGACATAATCTCCACATAATGCAGTTGTTGACGAAAGTAATAAAACAATCACTTGAAAACTAAAAATGAATACGGGTGCAAAACCATAAATAAATCAGTAGAGAAACAACAAACTAACCTGCTTAGAAGCTTGAGATTCCTCCAATTCCTTTGTCAATGCACTGGGCACTTTAGCAGCATTCCAGTCCCACTTGTCAAGGTTTGAAGCCATAAACCTTCTAAAAGTATTCCTCACTTCCTTCTCAGTTGCCAGCATATATGGAGTCCATCCCCTTTCATCCTTACTGCAAGGATCTAAACCCTGCTCTAGGAGTTCTAAAACTTTTTGGGTATTCCCAGACTTTGCTGCTTGATGTAAAGGTGTTGTTGTGCCAACATCTTCACTCTCACTCGCGCTAGACAAATTATCAGATTTGTTGAAACCTGAACAAGATTCAGTAGTATCTCTACCGTCCAGATCATCCCTGAAATCCTCTTTGGTGGGCCCTGGGCAGCCATCATTTGTAATGCTCACACTTAAGAGTGATTCTTCTTTGATGGCAGTTTTATTTTCTTCATTGATTTCATAGGAAACTTGTGTCAATAAATTATATAGTCGCCGACTTTCCTTCAATGTAGGTCTCCGTACAGTCATTGGAACATTTTGAACAACACAGTGCTTACAACTGAAATATGGTTTTTCTCCATCAAAAAGTAGTTGACGGTTGTTTGAAGGAGCATAAATGAAAACACACGAGGAAGCATCAAAATAAGGTTTCCAAGCAGCAAGTAATTCTTGAATTTCCTACTTAGCAAAGAGATAAAAATCAGTCAAGCAAAATCACAAAGAAAAGAAATATGATTTTATGCAAAATATCATTTATGAAACAAAAGTATTTATTAGATATGGTATAATCTGTAAGGGCAAGAGTGCCAAAGGATACATTCAGGTTAGTGAGTACCAAAATCAATGTGCCAGGAAATTTTTTACAGTGAACTGTAATACAGGGCAGCTTCAATACTGTTCAGTACCTTCTTTAACGCAAGTTCATTATAACGACGAAGTGAAGCTCCAGCAGAATGTGCGGCTCTGCCAGTTGCATCTTTTGATGACTGTTTTTTACCAGCCTTGGCCCTTACCACATATCTACATAAAGAAACAAAAGGAGTTTCAGACCAACTGAAAGAAAAAACAATCCTGCAGCTCTGATGATTTTTCTCATTCCTTTATAATTGAGCACTGTTTTATTATTGCCTCAATGAAATATAGGCTTTTGGACTATGTTACATGGCCTCAGGTACAAGTATTGGGTGCGGGTGTATGTTAAAGCTTCAAACCTTCTTAGTTCTAAGAACTCTCACTTGTTGCCTCCTTCACAATCTCCATCAGTTTGCAGCCTACACTACATGAACTACTATGGTTCTTTTCGATTCAACGATTCATTGTAATTATTATTTAAAAGATTACTAAATCAGCAACCTATCAAAAAATGTAAAATATGAAATAGTAGAAACAAAAAACTTGAACTATGTTACATAGACTCAGGTAGAAGTAAAGGGGATCGGGTGTGTGTTCAAGCATCAAACCTTCATAGTTCTAAGAACTCTCACTTGTTGCCTCCTTCACAATCTCCATCAGTTGGCCTGCACTATATGAACTCCTATGGATCTTTTCGATTCATTGCAATTATTATTTAAAATAAAAAATCAACCTCCTATATGGAATAGTAGAAACAAAAAAATTGAAAAGGAAGCAACCATTTAATACCAAATGAAATTAACTTTCAACAGTGCCATGGAAACATAATGGTATCAAGTCCATGAGCAAACAAGACAAAGGAGAAAGGAAGAAAAAGTTCATCAATATAAACTACCTAAATATCAAGCGCTTTTTATAATAAGATGTCAAAGCAGGCACAAAGCAAACACTAACCTGTGGAATGTTTTATGCGCCACAACAGAGTTACCATCAAACACACAGCCAGCAAAGTGCCCACCACTTGCAAGCAATACAATTCTCAAATGCGTATTATCCCTGGGCTCATGAATCAAAAATTTCAGTTTCTCAATCACTTCCTTCTCTCTCAAACAGCGCATGAACCCACCATCATCTCCAGCAACTAATTTATCGTTCTCAAATAAAATATTATCAGCCTCGTTCAGAAGTAAACATTTCCAAATTGAAACTCTCTCTCCTTTCGGAAGATGGATATATAGCTTTTGTTTAACACTTCTGCTTAATCCACTATGCACATTATTCTGGGGGAAAGATCCCCTTTCATCTTCATCTTCAGACCCCGATATGCTCGATATATCATAGTCTCTGAATAAAGAATCAGAGGTCAACTCATCAAAATCTTCCTCCTTCACAGTATCTTTTCCAGCAATGCTTAGCTTTACCTGAGGTTAAATATTAACATTCAAAATGTTAAACAATAAACACCTATTGAAAACTTCCCCCGTCCACCATAGAAAGATTAGTAGATGCAGATGAGCTAAACAAAACCAATCTATCCACCCTAATTGCAAACACTATTGTTGTAATTCGGTATCTAGGAGTAAAAGTTTCAACTTACGTATAGATTCCCTCATAATAACCCACTTTGCACATTATCTACAAACAAAAGTGCCCCCAATAAAGATGATAAACTTCAGTTTACAATTCAAACCCTTTCCAGTTTTCTCCCCTCTTCCTATATAGTGTATCCAATAAATACACATAAATGTACTACACTTGATATCGAAAACAATAATCTGTACCATAGCCAGTAAGCCTATTATAATAAAATCATTATTCTGCAGAGTACAAGTGAAAGTGAAGCATATAGAAAATGAGCTGAATGAAACCAGTAAATCCTCCCAACTTTCCATTTACACATCACTGTGACTCAAGCTAGACTCTAATCAGAAACTTCCCAATTCAATTGTCATACAACTTGCTCAAACGAATTCATCTATAACAAGATATGAAGCATTGATATGGGATATGAATACGATAGAGATACAGAAAAACTAAAAAAATAAGATGCAGTACAACCAGGATACATTGAAAAAAATTATAATTATAATTTTTATATTATACATGAGCTCAAAAACTAGTGAGAGACCATCCTTGAGAAATTAGACATCAATTTAAGACCCAATAGTTTGTTTACTTTCTTATCAATGGATATGTTAATTTGATAGAGGACCATTCCACGAACCCAGACAAAAAGAAACAGAAACTACCCAGAATTTGAAATCAAAGGTCCAGATTCATTGATGATATGGTCCCACATATACAACTTTGATTTTACACCATGGATTTAGCATTCTGGGCATTTTCTGGGTTTTGTTTTCATGGTCCATAGACTTTTTCTTTGATAAAATCTATAAATAAAAAATAAAAAAAAATCTACTTTAATCTTACTATTTTCTTCTTTGGTAAAAAATAAAGAAATATTAAAATTTATAATTATATTTAGAAAAATGCTAAAAACGGCCCTTGGACTATTGCTAGTGTTGAAAAAATGTGTAAGAGGGTATTGAAATGTGTGAAAGCATTTTGGGATACTTGAAGAGTATATTGAGATTGTAAATTTTTTGAGATCTAGTACTTAATGGGCTGTCATTAGCAAGAACCTTGTATTTAGTCTAGCAATTAAACTCTAATAGTATGCAAAAATTATTATCTCAATTTCATAATAATTTGGATACGTGACTTATGACTGTCCAAAAGTATACTTCTCAAAATTAACTAAGTATTGCATAATACTTTGAAAAGTGTTTGATACGTTTCCGCGAGCATGTATCTGACACGGGCACGATAAGAATACAACTACCATTTAGAACTACCCATGCCTTCATAGCTAAAAACAGAACAAACTCCACCATTTAAACCACACCAACACATGTTCTAGTACAAAATGGTAAAAAACAATTCAATTCAAATGAGCAAAATATAAAGTAATTTCAAATCATGAAACACCAACATTTGCCTAATCATTCAAAACCAGGAAAAAACAAAACAAAACAAAACACACATTCATATTGAGGGTGATGAGAATTTTACATTGAATCGATGAATATCGGACTTGAAGTGAGATCGTTGATCTTGAAGAGACTCGAACTCGGCCTTACAAGTATTGCAAGACCATCTCGAAATCGAAGCCTTCGTTGCGTCGTTAGCTACTTCATCGGCTAGGGTTTCGATTTCAGGGGTTTCAGAGGGCTCCGGGAAAGAGGTTGGGGATTGGAGGAGTCGACACGAATCGAAGAAGTCTGAAGGGACCTCGAAGATCGAACGGTGTCGTTTCTCCTCCTTTCTGTTTTGGTGGTGATTGGTGGTGCCGCCGCCGGAAGCAGCGTCGTTTGACATCGTCGTCAACGTCGTTGTGAGTTCGTGTGTTCGAATTTTTTTGATAGCTATATGTTGAGAACTGGATCGACTGGATTACGTGGGGGAAAGCGTTAGATTAGATTAGATTAGATTAGATTAGTCGTATGTTGTTTGTGTGCAGGGGCGGGCGTGGTGCGATTCGGGCCGTTGGAGAGTAAAAGTACTAATTGAATGGTGAGTTGGCGGATTAGTGGATTGATAAATTATGGTTTAGGCAGTTTTTAGCGGATTGACGATTTGTAAAATATTCTAACTAATTATCGTACATTTGCATAGTATATAATACTAATTTATATAATATTTTTTTGATATATAATACAAAGTAATTTTATATAATATGTTTTATATATATAACTACTAATTTGTAATAAATTTTACATCTTAAATCTCTCTCACACTCATTTTTACATTGATATTTCATTGAAAATTAAAAAATATATATGTATTAATTATAGCGGGGCGGAGCGGTTCGGTTGACGGTTTATAAATTTTAAAGTTTAAACTGCGGTTAGAACGGTGTGAATTGATGTGGATCGGTGCGATTTTAGCTGATTGGGCAGTATTTTGCACAACCCTATTTGTGTGTGGGTTGAACTCTCCATGTTTGGTAGTATTAGACATATAATTGGTTCAGTATTGTCGATATTTAGGGATGGTTTGGAATGATCTAAATACGTATACTTTTTGACTTTTTATGAAATATAAGTTGTGTATGGATTGGATTTAAAGTGATGTTGTAGAGAGGTAATATGACTTAAATAAGATGATGGGACTTGATGATACTCTGAACTCTAGATGGAACTGGATGAATTGATCCACGCTTCCCACAAAGTTGCCCGGGTGTTGAGCCCACCGAGAAACCTGCACAAGAGTTCAACGAGGAACGAGGAGTCCTCCAATGAACCCTCCGACGAACAAGTTAGAGATGTGAGAGTGATGGCATGTAAAGATGGGGTGGTGATCAAGAACTTAACATTTTCCTTGTCTTAGAAACCTGTTTATATCCTCTACTAATCATTTCCTTATCCCTTCCGATTTGTCACGTTGACCGAAAGTCTATGTTTTAGCATGCCTTGTTCATGGTGAGGCATTTTCTTGTTTCGACGGGGATGGGTTATTGCCATAAATGCTGCAGGGAAACTCATTAATGACTGATGTGTGGTGCAATAACTTTGCAGGATCTTTGTCTGCTTATGTGGCTGGTTCTTCTCTTGACACGTGTTTAGGAGTCATTGGTCCTTAATGCCACGTTGAGCTCCAGCAATGTTGGGCTTTAGTGTTTGAATTATGTATTGGGTTCTAAGTGATGGGCTAAAAGCTCCTATAGGCCCACCTATGTCAGTAGTCCCCCATTTTCAAGTGCAACTTTAGTCCAACGAAGGGAATAAAGAAGAAAACAGGGGTTGTGAGAGGTCGTCGGAGAGAAGACCGTCAGGGAATTGGACCGACTGCGAAGGGGGACCAAGCGAGAAGGTTGACTGCGATGAGGATCGACCACGAAGGGTGACCGAGCGAGAAGGTCGATTGGGAGGAGGGTCGACCGTGAAGGGTGACCAAGTGTGAAGGCCAACTGAAAGGAGGGTCGACCGCTAATGGTGACCGAGTGTGAAGGCCAACTGAGAAGAGGACCGACCGTGAGGGGTGACCAAGTGTGAAGGCCGACTGAGAGGAGGGCCGACCGTTAATGGTGACCGAATGTGAAGGCCAACTGAGAGGAGGGCCGACCGCGATGGGTGACCAAGTGTGAAGGCCGACTGAGAGGAGGGCCGACCACGAGGGGTGACCAAGTGTGAAGGGGAAGTGGCGGTGCGTGGGGCTCGAGGAACGGCGGGCACGTGGTGATGTGAAGGGGAAGGGACAAGGTAGGGGGAGGGAGCAGTGGATCGTGGTCGTACACGTGGCATAATTCTTTAATGGGGGAGGTGACACGTTAGTAAGAAGTGAAGGGACATGGTAATATAGGGCAATGAAAATGCGGGCTCAAAAATTTTTTTTTGAAAATTTTCAAACTGGCGAAATTTAATCGTGACCCTTGGAATATAGGCAAACCGTGGGCATTTAGGGTTATTCGCTTTACTTACCTTCTTGCAAAAAACCAATACGTCCCGGAAGTAAACTCATTTGTTTCGAGTGATACTCCTCTACAGCACTTTGCAAACTTCCTTGTGCCAGCCTCTGAAGCTATACGCAGATACGTAGAAGAGATGGCTCGAGATAAAGTGCCCACCATGAGACTAGATTCATTGGCGGACGACGACGCGGTGGAGTTGGCGGAGCAATACAAGGCGGAGAAGCGGACAGGAAATGAGGTGGAATATAAGTTGTGTATGGATTGGATTTAAAGTGATGTTGTAGAGAGGTGATGCGACCTAAATAAGATGATGGGACTTAATGATACTCTAGACTTTAGATAGAACAGGTTGGATTGATCCATGCTTCCCACACAATTGCCCGGGTGTTGAGCCCACCGAGAAACCTGCACAAGAGTTCAACGGGGAACGGGAAGTCCCCCAATGAACCCTCCAACGAACAAGTTAGAGATGTGAGAGTGATGGCATGTAGAGATGGAGTGGTCATCAAGAACTTAACATTTTCCTTGTCTTAGAAACCTGCTTATATCCTCTGCTAATCATTTCCTTATCCCTTCCGACTTGTCACGTTGGCCGAAAGTCTATGTTTTAGCCTGCCTTGTTCATGGTGAGGCATTTTCTTGTTTCGACGGGGAGGGGTTATTACCATAAATGCTGCAGGGAAACTCATTAATGACTGATGTGTGGTGCAATAACTTTGCAGGATCTTTGTCTGCTTATGTGGTTGGTTCTTCTCTTGACACGTGTTTAGGAGTCATTGGTCCTTAATGCCACGTTGAACTCCAGCAATGTTGGGCTTTAGAGTTTGAATTATGTATTGGGTTCTAAGTGATGGGCCAAAAGCTCCTATAGGCCCACCTATGTCAGTAGTCCCCAATTTCCAAGTGCAACTTTAGTCCAACGAAGGGAATAAGGAAGAAAACAGGGGTTGTGAGAGGTCGTCGGAGAGAAGACCGTCAGGGAATTGGGTCAACCGCGAAGGGGGACCGAGCGAGAAGGTTGATTGCGAGGAGGATCGACCGTGAAGGGTGACCGAGCAAGAAGGTCGATTGGGAGGAGGGTCGACCGCGAAGGGTGACCAAGTGTGAAGGCCGACTGAAAGGAGGGCCGACCGCTAATGGTGACCGAGTGTGAAGGTTGACTGAGAAGAGGGCCGACCGTGAAGGGTGACCAAGTGTGAAGGCTGACTGAGATGAGGGCTGACCGCTAATGGTGACCGAATGTGAAGGCCAACTGAGAGGAGGGCCGACCACGAGGGGTGACCAAGTGTGAAGGCCGACTGAGAGGAGGGCCGACCACGAGGGGTGACCAAGTGTGAAGGGGGAAGTGGCGGTGCGTGGGGCTCGAGGAGCAGCGGGGCACGTGGTGATGTGAAGGGGAAGGGACAAGGTAGGGGGAGGGAGCAGTGGATTGTGGTCGTACACGTGGCATAATTCTTTAATGGGGGAGGTGACGCGTTAGTAAGAAGTGAAGGGACACAATAATATAGAGCAATGAAAATGCGGGTTTGAAATTTTTTTTTTGAAAATTTTCAAACTGGCGAAATTTAATCGTGACCCTTGGAATATAGGCAAACCGTGGGAGTTTGGGGTTATTCGCTTTACTTACCTTTTTGCAAAAAACCAACACATCCCAGAAGTAAACTCATTTGTTTCGAGTGATACTCCTCTGCAACACTTTGCAAACTTCCTTGTGCCAGCCGCTGAAGCTCTACGTAGATACATAGGAGTGATGGCTCGAGATGAAGTGCCCACCATGAGACTAGATTCATTAGGGGACGACAACGCGATGGAGTTGGCGGAGCAATACAGGGCGGAGAAGCGGGCAGGAAGTGAGGCGGAGCCCGCGGGGCAACCCCGTCCGTCCACGTTGATAGCGGATGTGAAGCCAATTAGTCAAGTAGAACCGGACCATTGGCACACGAAGGTCGACAAATCGACGTTTACAGCGGAGGAGTTGGAGGAGGTGCGTGAGAAGTATCAGATTCCCTCGGAGATAGAGTTAAAATTGCCGACGTCGAAGGAGAGGCCATCCGACGCCCGACCGACGGAGTTTGCCCTTTATGAAGAGGCGTTAAAGGGGGGGTTGAGGTTGCTGCTCCCACAGATAGTAGTGGATGTGGTAAACCGGCTGGGGGTGGTGCCGGGTCAACTGATGCCTAATGCGTGGAAAATATTAATGGCTTGCGCGAGTGCGTGGCCACGGGCGAACGAGGGAGCTGCGATGACAGTGGATGAGTTTTTTGCTTGCTACAAGGCTTTGGGCCAACAAGAAACTTGGGTGACTTTACAGGCGGTGGCGGGTAAGGGCCTGGTGGCGGGGTTGCCAACATCAGTGAAGGGTTGGAGGCCACGGTGGTTTTACGTGTCAGCAAATGGGGGAGTAGTAGTGCGCACAGTATAGGGTTCCGACCAAGTCAGTGGAGCCAAGGCTAGAGGGAGAGGCAGAGGAGATGGTGAAAAAGGTGAAGGCGTGGAGGGAGAAGGAGGGCGCCAAGTGGGACGACCTTGTTCAGCCCTCAGCTTTGTTTGCCTCGAGGTTGGGATCGCAGCAGACCGGCGGGAACCTTGCGCCAGCAGAATTGGAGGCAAGGAGGAAGAAGCAAGAGGTGGAGGATAGAACAACCTTCGCCAAGGCTGACAAGTACAAAGAGTCACAGTTAGGCTGTTTGCCTAAACTAGTTATGAGGGAGCAAATCCGACCGTGCCCTAAGCCGCTGGGGGATAAGGACTTGGGCGGTTTTGAGCCACTACCGCCTCCAGTGAATCCATTGAAGGAAAAAAACAAGAATGAGGTGGAGGTTGTGTTAAAGAAGAAGAAAAAGAAGAAGAAGAAGAAGAAGAAGAAGAGGGCAGAGAAAGGGGAGGAAGGGCCAGTGTTGAAAAGGATGGAGGAGGGATTGGCCCCAGAGGTGACCCAAGAGGTAGAGTTGGGGGAAACAATGAAGGGGGTGGAGGATGCCATGGGACCCGGCACACAAGTGGAGGGTGGCACAATTGGGTCC